GGGGGCAGGGGTTGGGAAGAAATACTGCAGTGCAAGAAATCTTGCATGAATGAAATCTAGTTCACCTCTTCCTGCAGATCTGTAAACTGAGCCTTGTCACCTCCCCTGCCCAGTGCTTCTCCTTCTCCAAGTGTCTGGAGAGAGAAGCTTTGACCAATACAAAAAAGCTATGCCTTCTTTAAAGTGGAGATTTTTTGTACTGCAATGATACAAGTTCTCCCCAAAGCCTGAATTATTAGTAGCTTTAACTACACAATTTGAAATTAAACTACCTCTTGTTTTATTGTATAGGAACTCACAGATTGAGTCATCTATACACACATCCCCCAAGGTGCTCTCTTTTTATAAAAATTCATATTGATAACACGGTACACACTGAACAAGTTCCAAGGAAGAGAAGTGCCAGGCAACGGAGCACCTCCAGTTACTAAACAGCACAGGCCATACTGTGCTTGCTCATATGAAACATGAGAAGTTATACAGATTTGAAAGGAATTTTTATGCATCAAAACATTTTGTTCCCCTTGCACTGTTTTACTTTTGAACTTGTGCTGTCAGCATCAATATCCCTGATGAGAATATTTTGGCAGAAAACACAGGCAAGTCCTTTTCCAGTTCTAAAACATTTGGACAGGAAAGATTTTGGAGGAACTCAATGGGAAAAGTGCTATTCTGTTTCCAGGAAGAGGAGTCCCTCATAGAAACAGAAGCAGTTATATATTACTGATGGGCTAATCTCTTGCTTTGTATTTGTCTCATACAGGGAGATTACACTATTTCAGCAAAGCTGACTAATGAAGATCACGTCACTGTTGCTTGTGCTGATTTTACGGTGAAAAATTATTTGGAGTATTATTAGCAACAAACCAACTTCATGAAAGCTACAGACTACCAAAGCTATTCAAGCCAAGTGAGCTGCTCACATGCTACAATGATTCTGAAGGAAATAATCCCCACACTGTAGTTCTGATGCTATTCCTTTTTATAATTCACTATTATCAAGAAGTCACTAGACCCTCTAGTGGTAATTTTATCTCTAAATGCACACTGTAGCCCACTTTTTGCTTCTAACATATACAGCTGCAAGTAGAAAGTATTTGATAACATTCTCATTTTAGGACTAAAATAGCATGAGGCAGAACAGGCGAGAACCTAAACATTTCTTTCTTTTTTGAAGTTACGGAGGTATCCATTTCTAACATAGGCTAAAGATGACTCTCATATGTTTTACATATTACATAGTTACAGCACTCAACGTTTTCAGTCTTCCCTGGGGCCACTCTGGAGCCTCCACTAGCATAGATTTTGTTATAACCACAGAACAAAGACCAAATAGGACAAACATGTCTTTTTTTCCAGTGATACATGACCTGTCACTGGATTCTTATCACTTGAGTCTTCTGGAATCTAACTGGAATTTTTTGTTCTTTAATGCCTTTTAAGTGGTATGTGAATCATTCTGTACATAAGCTATATGCTCTTATTGCTTCTCAGTAAATTCATAATGAAACAATATTTTTTTTTCTCATGATTCTACAATCTATCCAAATATTAAAGTGGGGAAACAAGGGAGGGGGAAAAAAAGAAAGAAAGAAATTAGTTACATGAGCACTTGTTGGGGTTTAAGCCCAGCCAGCAATAAGCACCACACAGCTACCTGCTTACTATTCCTCCCCACCCTCCACCCTGGTGGGATGTGGAGGAGATAATATAATGAAAGTTTCATCAGTCAAGACAAGGACAGGGAAGTATCACTCACCAATTACAGTCACAAGCAAAACAGACTCAGCTTGAGGGAAAAAGTTTGTTACCAATCAAATCAGAGTAAGATAGTGAGAAATAAAACTACATCTTAAAACACCTTCCCACCACCCCTCCCTTCTTCCCAGGCTTAGCTTTGCTCCCATTTTCTCTACCTCCTCCCCCTCCAAGCACAGTGCAAGGGCATGGGGAATGGGGGTTTCGGTCAGTTCATCACATTTCTATCACTCCATCTTCCTCCTCATGGGGAGGGCTCTGCACACTCTTCCCTTGCTCCAGCATGGGGTCCCTCCCACAGGAGACAGTCCTCCATTAACTTCTCCCACATGAGTCCTTTCCACAGGCTGCAGTCCTTCACTAACTGCTCCAGCATGTGTCCGTTCCACGGGGTACAGTCCTTCAGGAACAGACTGTTCCAGCATGGGCTTCCCACAGGGTCACAGCCACCTGCTCTGCCATGGGGGTCGTCCCCAGGCTACAGGTGGATATCTGCTCCCCTGTTACCCTCCATGGCTTCGGGTCACAGCTACTGTCTCACCATGGGCTGCAGGGGAATCTCTGCTCTGGCACACCTCCTCCTCCTTTCGCCACTGACCTGGGTGTCTGCCTAGTTGTTTCTCTCATCCCACTCCTCTCTCTACTGCAGGTTCCCCCCCTGTTCCCTGCCCCACCCACCTCACCCCCCCTTAAATATGTTATCCCAGAGGTGCTCCCACCATTGCCAGTTGGCTTAGCCTAGACCAGATGTGGCTATGACTTGGAGCCAGGGAAGCTTCCAGCAGATTCTCACAGAAGCCACCCCTGTAGCCCCTCCCCCAGCTACCAAAGCCCTGCCACACAAACCCCACACAGCACTTTTATTTTTTTAATATGAAATATCAGTCATGTTGATACACATTTTACATTAGCAGAGGACAAACTGTTACTTGCTTTGAGCATGAAGCCCCAGGAGAAGCAAACAAAAGTTACACTTCCAGGTGCAGCACATCCCCAACCCCTCTCATTCCAGGAGCCCTGCAGCTGGCAAAGCTGATGGGTAGGTAGATAACCAAGCACAGGGCAGCACATCAAATTAGGATCTGGGGTTGGAGAGTGTGGAGACCTGTTTGGGAGACTGAAAGTGTAGGGGAAGGATAAGGAGTAGAGTTGAGGTCCGATTTGGAAAGGTACAGGCAGAAGTCAGAGCTACAGAAGGGTCCTGGCACTGAGCACAGGCTTACAAAGATAGTAGTACATCCTTAAAGAATGCATGCATTTTCTTGGAGGGGTTCAGCATGTACAGCTAGGGCAGCTTTGGCCACACAGGAGCTCTGACACGACCTCCATCCTACACACCCACACGCTGCGGCTCAAACAAATTCCTGAGCAGCAGGAGCATCCCTGCTGCACAGATGACCAACACTGCAGAGCAGGCTACAGCTAGCAGCAAGGGATAGTCCCCTTCTTCCCTCCCATGCACCAAAATCCGCACCTGCCATCCCAGCAAAGGTGAGCAAGTCTTCGAGGCCTAACTCACATTAGGGAGGCCTACCACTGTTGAACACAAACCAGCAGTGCCACAAAATGGGATAGAGCACATCAACACACCGCTGTTTCAGCCCACTTCTATTACACCCTGATTTGAAGAAAAAAAAAAATTAAAAAAAAAAGAAGGAGAAGGAAGTCTGGGGGGTTCATCACAGCTTTGGCCACCACTCACCAGCATTCAGCCCTAAAATGGTGATGCTGTTTTGGAAGCAGTCTGTGTTGCTGTGTTTTAGGTCTTCATAACTAATAGAAGAGTATCACAATGCAGACACAGGCTGTTTTTTTCTTCTCACATCAGTAGCTCTTTAGATTCACCTCTTTCCTCATGATTCCCATAAGATATTAGAAGGACAGACCTTGAGGAGAAACTAACAAAACTGCACTCAGCAGCAGCACTTGCACAAGAGTCCACTTGCTCAGCTCTGTTCCACCGCAACCACACAAAAGCATGGCTAAAGCCCACATTCCTGCCACCAAGCTGCTTGGTCTGTTATCTGATGAAAGACTCACCAGATGAAAAACAAACCCAGTGCTAGTTTAAACACACCTACTTGAAACCAGTCTCGTAATAGGCCTAGATCCTCTTAACCAAATTCACCAGGCTCCTTAAACCCTGGGCCATGCCCAGCAGAGTATATAAGCCAGCCTTCACCTCTGCATGACACAGGAGCTCCCCTAGAGCATCTGTAGCAGAAGCTGCTGCAGGAGGTCTCAGCTGCCCAAGAAGTGGGAGTTTAATCTCTGAAGCATCAGACTTCTGGCCATCAAGATCTTCCATCACTGACCCTTCACCGCCCAGCTCACTGTCGTGGTTTAGATCCAGATGGCTATAAGCACCACACAGCCTCTCACTCACTACTCCTCCCACCCTGCTGGGATGGGGTGGAGAAAATATAATGAAAGGCTTGTCAGTCTAGACAAAGACAAGGAGGGATCACTCATCAATTATGGTCACAGGTAAAACAGGCTTGACTTGGGGGGGGGATTCATTTAATTTGTTACCAAGCAAATCAGAGTAGGATAATTAAAAACAAAACCTAATCTTAAAACCCCTTCCTACCACCCCTCCCTTCTTCCCTGGTTCAGCTTTGCTCCCAATTGCTCTACCTCCTCCCCCCTCCAACGGCACAGGGTGACAGGGAATGGGGGTTTCGGTCAGTTTCATCACTCATTGTCTCTGCTGCTCTGTCCTCCTCATGGGTAGGACTCCTCACACTCTTCCCCTGCTCCAGCATGGGGTCCCTCCCACAAGTCCTTCTCACAGGCTGCAGTTCTTCACTAACTGCTTCACGGCGTGCATGCTGTTTTTCTCTTGGAATTAAGCTGAAGAACCAAGACTACATCTTAAACCCACACTCCAAGGCTTAAGCTGGAGCTTTCTCCATAGCAGGAGGAAAGGTATGTTTACCATACCACAGAGCCATGGAGCTTCCCTGTCTAAAAATTATTCAGGGCTTAGCAGCTCAAGGCCTCAGCTGCTCTCTGAATTGAAAAGAGCCTTGCCCTTCAGCCTAAGAAATCATAGAATCATTAAGGTTGGAAAAGACCTCAAGGATCATCAAGTCCAACCCAACACCACCTAACTCACTAAACCATGTCCCTAAGCACCACATCTATGCGTTTCTTGAACACCTCCAGGGATGGTGACTCCACCACTTCCCTGGGCAGCCTGTTCCAATGTCTGATCACTCCTTCAGTGAAGAAATTTTTTCTAATATCCAGCCTAAACCTCCCCGGCACAACTTGAGGCCATTTCCTCTTGTCCTATCACTTGTTACTTTAAAGAAGAGGCCAGCACCCACCTCACTACAACCTCCTTTTAGGTAGTTGTAGAGAGTGATGAGGTCTCCTCTCAGCCTCCTCTTCTCTAGACTAAACAACCCCAGCTCCCTCAGCTGCTCCTTGTAAGACCTGTGCTCCAGACCCTTCACCAGCTTCGTTGCCCTTCTCTGGACCTGCTCCAGCACCTCAATGTCCCTTTTGTGGTGAGGGGCCCAAATGCCTTGGTTTCCTCCTTTGAAATCCCATTTCTAATTGGACACCATTGTGCATGGTCAAGCAACAAAAACTGTGCTCATCTTCACTAATCCCAGCACAGCTTATGAAGCCCTTCCTGTCCCAGAAGATCTGTGGTGTATTCACACTATCGTACTAGAATTCAAATACATCTGGCAGCTCCTGCAGTTGTCTTTCTGAAATAGCCTCAGAAAGCTTAGTAAGGGCAGCGTAGCATCATCCAGGCTCTGAATATAGCTCAGCTGTGCAAGGATGAGACCGATATCATCCAGGGATTTGCAGCCTGAGCAAGGAAGCAGTTGGGTTTTTCCAAAACAAGAATCTGCACATTTCCAGACAGCTCTCCTTGAAGGCAGGGGGATGAGGCACAAGTGAACCCCACAATCAGATTCTGGGCTCTTAGCCCTTGCTAGCAAGATTGCCTGAATTGGAAGTATAGTAGTACTTCTGTTATGTTGAAAGACACCACTAAATGCTTGTATTTCTCATATACCATCTTCTACACCCTCCAGTGCAGCCCTAAAATAATTCCAGAGTGTCTCCACTTTATTCTTTTGATGGTGCTTTGCAGCATGAGAAAGGGGAGCAAGAGGGACAGGACAACTACAGGGTGTTATTCCAACAAAAATCAAGTTTTTGTCTCAGAGGACGTTGGAAAGGTAAAGCATGAAGCTATCTTTACCCTCAGCACTCATTCAATGGACTATGATGAAGAATCTTGCCTAGAATATAGACCCAAGTCTCTTAGTGGATTATTCTGAACTAACCTTCCTAGGACTGACAAATGCTTCAGCAAGACAGATGGGATGGGAGTCTGGTCCCAAGGAGCTTCCACAGTGCTCAGGCAAA